TAATTTTTTCTTACCAGAGTTCAAAATTGTTCACACTAAGTGAGCTTTATGACCTGAAGAGAGAGTTTGGGATTCAACTTTAGTGAATCTATTGGTCTGCCTGGAATTTTAATTACTGCAATTCATGATCACTAATTACTAATTTTTCAGCTTTTATAATGACATCTATTCTTTTTTCCTTCTCAGTTACACCATTTTCCATCACTCTCAGTATTCTAGTCTCACTGAATTTGCTCTTGCAAGATGAGACTGAAATTTCCGGTGAAGAAAAAACTTCATGGAAAGATACATGCTTTGGTAGCGTAGGTCTATACAAGTAGAAACACAGTAAACATAGTCTGCAAAGGCTATGCAGGTAGCTCACAAATAATGCAAAGGCACTATTAAGAGAGGAAAGATACCTTAATCTAGGAGGGTTGAAAGAGTCAGTTTCTCTCTAGCATTTATCACTGTTTTGTGATAAAACAAAATTCAGAATACTTGCTTCATAATCCTTTCCTTACTACTTCTTTCATACACTCTGTGTTTCAGTCCTGAGTGGTCAAGCTTACATGGTTAAATAATAGATAGTACAGGATGTACTATCAGGATTATGGTTTAATCTAGGTAATACTACTACTATACTATATACTATAGCGGGAGTAATATGTGAACAGGCGCTTATGTGTAGTGGCATATTTATATTTGTTTCCTTGAATCACTTGTCTGTTGATCTGGGTTTGCTACAGAATACACCGCACAGAGATTTGCACATGTGATTGTGCTGGGATGAAGGGTGGTAAGGGATGACCTGTCTGCTGTAAAATCAGTTTAGGAAGGGAGAGGTGAATTCAAGCTAGATATTTAACCCTTGAACTGTCTGGTCGTTCAATTCACCTGCAGAACCAGCCTTAGAAAGCCTCTGAACTAGAGGGTGGGATGGTTAGGAAGCTGAAGGCCTGGCTTGCCCCTGGGGCAGCATCCAGTGCCAGCATGGCTGGCTGCCACCCTCCTCTGCCCCACTGGCATGACCACAGACAGACTGTCAGCCTCGTAGCCCTGTGGCAACTCTTGCCTCGAGCCACAGCTCTCAAAGGGGGAAACAGAGCCTGTGCTACATTAATACTCACCAGAATGAATGAGCACATCTTCAGATAAGAAAGTAGAGCTGTTTTCAGAAATCGGTGGCATTTAACATGGCCCTTCTCTATTTTGCAGCTTACTAAACAAAAGCACTTAAAAGCATGAAAAACAACTGTTAAGGTATTAAAATCTGACAGAGCTTATGTAAAGAAACTGGCACTATGAGGGCTGTGTCACATTGAAGGTACCACAGGACTGGTAATTGTCTTACTCATGCCTTCTTTTGGCACAGAGTCTACTGACAGGCAGCCTCTAGCTTTGGCAATTCTCACTCAAACTGAGAATTCTCCAGCAAAATGCTCACTGCCCACGAGCTCTTGGGTACTGGCTTTGAGCGTCCTGCTAATTGAGGAGCAGATCACCCGGAAACTGAGCAGGCTGATGAGGGCATCTCTGATCTGAAGAGATGCCTGCATGTAAAAGTTGTTCTCTCACCAAACATTTCCACAAAAAATCCCTAAACCAACCCATAATAAAAAAATTCAACCCCTTCAGGGCCGCAGTCCCTAATTTAGGGAAAAACTAGTGCAAGCTAAAGCTTGACCCCAAAAGTTTGATAACTTTCTGCTAGAGAAGATACAAACTGTAGTGCTGCTAAGCTAGTATTCTTATAGCGGTAATGAATGCATCTGAGAGCTCTGGGAAAGTATGTGTAGATCTTTTCCCTTGGTTTCCCTGCAGAGCAAGGCACAGACCATGTTTGCAGGAGAACACATGAATGTTTGCTATTTGTTGCCCCACTAAACTCTTCTGTTATCTTTTCTTGCTGCTTTCCAAACATGTCAAGAGCTCTGACACACTGCAGCAGAAACAATTCTGCAGCATGTGCAAGCATGTGATCATTTTGGGGATGATCCTGCTTGCCCTAAGACATACAATCATTTTACACACAAATCAAAATAGTACATACTACATTTTCTAGAAATAGCATTTTTGAGGTTGTTGCAGGCAAAAAAAAAAAAAAAAAAAAAAAAAAAAAAAAAAAAAAAAAAAAAAAAAAAAAAAAAAAAAAAAAAACCACCAGTAAAATGGTGCAATTTTTGGCTTTGAGAAGTGCAAGAGCTGTCAGGTTAAGCCATCAAGAAGACAGGGCTAGACTCCTTTCAGTGGTGTCCAGTGACAGGACAAGGAGCAACAGGCACAAACTTGAACTCCATCTCAATATGAGGAAAGAGTTATTGGAGAGTGACAGCACTAGAACAGGTTGCCCAGAGAGGTTGTGGAGTCTCCTTCTTTGGAGATATTCAAAGCCTTCCTGGACGCAATCCTGTACACCCTGCTCTAGATGAACCTGTTTTGGCAGAGGGGTTGGATTAGGTGATCTTTAGAGGTCCTACCAACCCCTACCATTCTGTGATTATGTGTGATTCCGTGACAATGACTCATGGGTAGTTCAGGCTTTGGTTTTGGGTTTTTTCCAGTATTTTTATGGCTTCACACTGGGCATTCGCAGTCCCTTTTTCTAATCGTTATGCTCTCTGAAAAAGAAGGAAATTTCCACATGAGCATCTGAACAACCATGTGGTGTTACATACTTAAACAATTTGTCAGCTGCAGGGATGGTTTCTGGGTCAGTGGCAGCTGGCAGGGTGAACGCAGAGGAGAAAAGTACTATGGGACTTTGTCATACAGCGAGGCTAACAGACTCTTGTGGTGGCTCTGCAGAAGACAACATTGGTGGGGACAGCGTAGTGGCTAGGCACTCCTTGCATGAGGCTAATGTGTATGCTTAGCAGTGTACAGCCTCTGAAAGGCAATAAAACAGTAATTACTGGAAACCTCAGAGGTGTGTTTGCTTTTGCAACGGGATTTTGAGGCATTTATTATTATCTTTGCAGCATTGTGCAGCCTTGTAGCACTCTTTTTAAAATCAAGCTCTTTATTCAGAGGCTTTTTTAATGAACGTGTGATATATTTCTTGTCTAGCCACGGTTTTCTTCTTTATACTTCTGCTACTTGACTGCTTGGTTTCTTTTCCTCTTTGTACATTTAAATTTGCAGTTTGAGGAAACATATGGCCTAGAAAGCAAATTAATTAAGTTTTTCCTCTGCTGTGAAAAATGTGAAGGTGCACAAGTCCATGGGAGGTGATGAGATGCATTTGCGGGTCTGAAGGAAACTGGCAGATGAAGTTGACAAGCAACTATACATTATATTTGAGAAGTTGTGATAGTTCGGTGAAGTTCCTGCTGATTGGAAAAGGGGAAATATTATCCTCATTTCTACGGAGGGGAGAAAAGGAAGAGCCAGGCAACTACAGGTCAGTCTCATCTCTGTGCCTCTCAAGATCATGGACAAGATCCTTCTGGGAGCTATACTAAGGCACTTGGAAAATAAAGAGGTCATTGGTGACAGCTAGCATAGCTTCACTGAAGGCAAATCATGTCTGACAAATTTGGTGGCCTTCTACTAAGGCGTTGCAGCATTGGTAGATAAAGGAAGACATGATCTACCTGGACTTGGCCAAAGCATTTGATAGTGTTCCACGTGACATACTTGCCTCTAAATTGGACAGACGTGTATTTGACGGATGGACCACTTGGTGGATAAGGAATTGGCTGGATGGCCACACTCACAAAGTTGCAATCAGTGGCTCCATGTCCAAGTGGTGATGAGTGGTGTTCCTCATGGATTGGTGCAACATCTTTGTCAGTGACATGGACCACCAGGATTGCATGCACTCTCAGCAAGTTTCCCCAAGACATCAAGCTGTGTGGTGTGGTCAACATGCTGGAGGGAAGAAATGCCATCCAGAGGGGCCTGGACAGCTTGAGAGGTGTGAACCTCATGAAGTTCAATACAGCCAACTGCAAGGTCCTACATGTGGGTCACCGCAATGCCAAGCACAAATACAGGTTGGACAGAGAATAGATTGAGATCAGCCTTGTAGAGAAGGACTTGGAGGTGTTGCTGGGTGAGAAGCTCAACATGAGCCAACAATGTGCACTCACAGCCCAGAAAGCCAACTGTATCCTGGGCTGCAATAAAAAAAGTGTGGCCAGCAGGCTGTGGGAGCTGATTCTCCCCCTATACTCAGGTCTGGTTTGTAATTGCACAAAAGTTTGCACCTCTCTCTCTCTCTAGTTCTTGTTCGCCCTACAGTGGTATGGTATTGGAAACCAGCCCATAATACTGACTAAGAAAGGGTAGGACGAGGAAAGAGTGCTAATGTGTTCAGCTGTTTGCTGTGTTAACAGTGTGAAGGTAGTCAAAATTGTTCTTCTGGCCTGTTTATTCCTTGTAGATGAATGAAATTCCCTCTGTATATCATGGTTTATCACAGAGAATCCTCTTCATGATGAAAAAAGGGATTTGGATTAGTATGTTAAAATTTTCCATGGGTCAAATTTCCAATTCCGAAAAAGCATGTTGCACTCAAGACAATTAGAGGGCAGTGCCTCCAGGTTTTGCTTTTACATATCTCTAACTTCATCTCAGGGCAAGGTCCTTCAACTGCAGTGCATCCTAAAGGCAGGATGGGAGACAAGGCCAATGCCATTATAATGCCTAATGAAAAAGTGTAAATGCAGTGATGGTTGCTTTGAACACTGCACATGGTCTTCAGTTATTGCATCCCGCTCTAAGCAGAACATATAATTAATAATTTGTAGTAACACATGGCTTCTATAAATCAGAACTACATAATTAATCTCCTTGCAGCTCATGTTCTATCAGAGATGGATGTGCTTTGAGGAGGATATTCGCTCCTCCAAAGTGTCAAAGCATGTGCTCCAGCATTTAGGGAGGATGCTTAGTCAAAGACAGTCTGCTTTCATCTCTAATAGCCTGATTAAGAGGAAAAGTATGGTCCCTACACAGGACATCAGATTTGTTATGCTGAATGGGTGCCGTAGAGAACAGAATAGCAAGTAACTTACCACGTCAATTATCTGCAGCAAAGAAAGCTGGAGCTCGACTACAAGGGGTTGGGAGTCATTCACTACTGGTCGCTCAAGACGATTGTAGTTTCTCAGCAGTTCTCTGTACAAGCGTCTCTGGCTTTCACCCTGCTGAGAGACTGGGGGAAAAGAAAGAAGGCATCTGTTATCTGGGCTGGTCCCCATTGTTTGTTCTATTGAAAACTCTCTCTTAATTAGCTTTGGAATTTGAAAGCAGTTTCCAAGATAATCCCCAAAATTCTGCACATGGGTGTGACATACACATATAGGCATACATGATTGATGACCTCTTAAAAAAAATCAACTACTAACACTCTAACTCATTACTAACATCGAGAAACTGCTGAACAGCCTTTGGGGCTCTCAGTAAATATGCCCCTGCCTTGATGTCCCTCCTGTTGATGGTCAGTGGAGATTTAGTTGCAAAACCACTAGACAAATTCCTGAAATGCGGTCAGAGTGCTTTTATTTGCTTGCTCTTATTTCCTAGAGACTGGTTGCTGTAGCCAGCACCGGCATTACTTCGATATAGTGCATGTTTACCCAGTGTAATTAACAGATATTCTTATTTCTTGGAGTTGATGTATCAGGTCCTTTTCTGTACTCAGGGGAAACAGTAACAAGCCTTCTTCATAGCCTCTTCAGTTTTGTGTGGCAGTCTTTCTGTGCCTCAGGTTGTTTCCTTGCCTTTTTTCCTTCCAATGGCAGCACAATTTGTTAACACCTAATGAGGTGCTGGTACGAAGACTAGAATATTTGACAGGTATGTAAAATGATACTGAATTTTTGGTATTATAGGCTTAACTCAGATTCCACCAGAAACAGCCTCAACACAGAAGCTGTCATGCAAACACATGAGCATGTTAAAGACTAGCAGAATTTCAGTCTGTGCTTAAATTGAAAGATTTCCCAGTTCCCCAGCTTTGGGCAGGGTGTGTAGAGCCTTCATCTAACTTGTGTGACCAGGTTTCCTTTCCACAACAACCATGGATGTGGCACAGTAGCAAAGACGGCTTGACTGTCTTCCCACGGGAAGGTGAGCACTTTGATGTGATGTACTGCCCAGGTACTTGGATCGCCCAAAACAGTGTTGGCGTCCTGGTCAGTGGCAGCCTGAACTCTACCTAAGAGCTGCATCTAACAGAGGGTCATGGGCTGCCCTGAGGGCAAACCAGTCCTGTCAGCACGAGCGCGTATTCCCCCAACTGTAGAAATCCAGTCCCCGGCAGGTAATCTGCACTCTAAATTATTATTACTTTGGACTACAGCTCTCTGTTTCTATGTTTTAAGTTTTTTTTTAACTCTTGAGCAGAGCTCTGCTCATGAAGGTCAGGACTTCTCTCATAGTAGTTATGATTAATATCTTTTTTACAATGCAAAAAACCCCATAAAAGCCAGTTCTTCATTCTCCAGACTCTTACTGGGCTCAGCAAACCTTGAAATCCTGGAATGAGCTGCTCTCCAACACCACAGCTATGTCTTTTAAAGCTAATGATAAATTTAGTTTATAAGCAGTTTATAAGACTGTTTAATTAGTGTTGTCTTCAGTTTTCCTGATACTAAAGGGAGCTTTGCAGCCTTCCAGTATGGCAGTGCCTAGTAAACAAAGAGGAAGAGTATTTTTGTTCATTCTGGTAATTTACACCAACAATTACTCTTCGTGGGCCCTTTCTTCTCCTGTGTAATACATTACATGATCATGGAGATCCAGAGGAGCAGATGCTGTAAGCACTGCCCCAATAGCCCTTGCTGACATGTCAGTATTGGATGCTATGTTTTCACCATCAGCAAAGACAAGCTCTGGCCACAGTTTCTCCCCTTCACCTGCTTAAATAAACTTCCCTGCAAGGTAGTGACTTAGGTTGTCTGTTACAGCCTTAGTCCTTGCTTTCCAGTGCCTCTGCAGACCCTGACTCCCTTTTAAGAACCTTCTGTGGAAAGGAAACCACTGAAAAACACTATATGTTGGAACGACGCTTTGTGTTTTGAGCAAATTTGCTGTCCTTTCACTCACCTCCCTCCACCCCCCATCATGCTCCTGTGCTTTAGGGAAGACATGACTGCCTGCTCTATTGCTCTTATCTTGAGTACTTATGTAATATTTGCCTTTAACCTTCCTTTAAAACTGTCTGCCTCAGCTTTTACAATGGAAAAGTACCCTTCACCAGACTCTGGAAGTTGGCTGGGGTGCTACAGTGCCCTGGTACCACTACTGTTGTGGTGCATTAGAGCAGCTTCCCCCTCCCCAAGGGAGGTCTGACTCGGTGAGATCTGAGCATAACCCTTTGCTGTGTGTTTCAGGAAGCTGTCTTCGCGGTATATGCTCCAACCATGCTGAAGCCTGGCCCCTTTTCCTGTGAAACTTCAGGAGCTGAAGTAGCCCAGTACTGCAATTTCGCACCTGGCTTTCCACCCTTTGTTTGACTCTGCCCTCTGTAATGTGATCCTATTGCTTTGGGGCCTCTTGTCTCTGAAATTGTTAACATAGCCTTAGCTGATCTGTTCTTACCCTGGTGAGTTGGCATTGGTGACAACATATGGTGCTGCATGGTTTTGTTTACAAAATTACATAGGTTCAGAAGCAGTGGAGCCTTTGGGGTCTCCTGGCAAATGGCCATGGCAGCTGTTGTTATCACAAAGCCCTGGGCAGTTTAATCACACTGACATCTCCCTGCTACTGCTACTTTGGAGAAGGAACTGAGGTGTGTGACAAGTCAGACTTGTATTTTCATAGACTTTCGCTTTAAATCGTTATCTTCAAATACTTAATGTTTCGTACTTCAGAGAGATTTGTGCTTTTTTCCTCTCTAATGTTTTGCTAATGCATTGTGACACTACATCTCTGTGTGCTAAATGGAGTGTTTGATGGTGATGGGGAAGTCTGCATCTCTCAGGAGTAGTGGTAGACTAAGATTTACCACTGCCTACCACTCAGTCACAGAAACCTAACCAAAAGCAGTGGCACTATTTCATCTTCTAAATTAGGCTGGAAACTGGATCTCAATATTTAAGGTTGTCAGTCTCCTAAAAGCAATGCCAGACTTACTTGCCTATGTATGTTACAGGAAAGTATGAGTAACTGGCAAAGGTCATGAAGCTTTCTAGATAAAGGATTTTGACAAACAGAGAGCCTTTTATATCCCACTGCCTCAGACAGTGTCCCCTTAATTTCTGAACTATATTTAAAGCAGTAGGAAATCATACAATGTCATTAAAATTTGAGGGAAGAAGTGTATGATGTTTAGCTCAAGTTAAGAAATACTTTTGACACCATCTCCAAGAACATCCTTGTAGACATTTGTCTGTGTCTTACAGGTTTGAAAAGTGAACAGTGAGGTGGATTACAGAGTGGCTGAACTGTGAGGCTCAGAGGTTTGTAGTCAGCAGCACAAAGTCCAGCTGAAGCAGTCAGTGGTGGGGTAGTCCAGGTGTGGATACTGGTGCCAATGCTCTTAACATCGTAATGAACAATGGGACAGAGTGCACCCTCAGCAAGTTTTCAGATGGTTTTCAGTGACTGATACAGCACATGATTTTGCTGCCATTCAGAAGGATCATTGAAAGCTGAAGAAATGGTTAATAGGAATGTCATGAAGTTCAATGAAAGGAAGTGCTAAGTCCAGCACCTGAGGAGGAGTAACCCAGGCATCAGGGTATGCTGGGAGCCTACTGGCTGGCGAGCAGGTTGGCAGAAAAGCCCCGGGATCTACCAAGTTGACCATAAGCCAGCAATGCAGCCTTGCAGCAAAGGCCACCAAATCTTGAGCTGCATCAGGCAAAGCCTCACCATTGAGTCAAGAAAGGTGATCCTTCTGCTCTACTCTGGACTGATGAGGCACATCTGGACTGCTGGGTCCAGTTCTGGGCTCCTCAGTACAAAGGAGACATGTAGTTACTAGACAAAGGACTAGATTGGCCCTCAAGCTTCACTGTCTGAACAATCTGAAATGGTTCCCTAAAGTGATACTCAAGTTTGCAGGCAATTGAGAGGTACTGGGCAACCAATCCTCTGGTGGTTTTGTGAAGAGCTCTGTGGACTCTTCATGATATTAATGGACTACAGTCAACTCTTAAATACCTCTCTGAAACTTCTCCCATGCTTCTGCATGTGCGAAGAAGTCTGCAAGAAGTCCACCAATTGATCAACATGAGCTATAAACTGTTACCGATCTCTTAGGAATACATGCTATATTTGAATTTCACCTTTTTTTCTAGGATGGAATTGCTGGGAATTCACACTAAAGTAACCCACCTAGGAGCTATTTCTCTATTGCAGCATGCTACCACTTCCTCTAACAGGAGATATAAGAAAATTTGGGTTCCTCCAAATGCATGACTGTGCAACCAGGGAAATCCCCAGGTAGGGTGGTGTAGTGTGGTATCCTCTGTCCCAGATCAGGGAGTCCTGTCATGTGAAGGAAGAACCTGCGGTAAGAAAACAGAAGATGACAGCTTCCTTATGGGCTTATTTCTGAAATGTATCTAAAACTCTGTCCTTTAGCTTCTTTTTCCACTACAACATGCTTGTCTTCAATTATTTCAAGAGGAAATAAAGCCAGTCATCTTGCAGTTAGCTTACAGTCTGAGCTTCTGAGTCTTTTCCTCCCACACACACAGTCTGCATGTGAGACATCATCCTCTTTATTAAATGCAGACATGTTGTGATGTCCCAGGCAGGTTAGGACTTAAACATTGGACAATTGTATAGTAAAAAAAAATTGCAGGGATCTCCTCAGAGCAAGCCTAGAAACAAGTCAATAACTTGGACAAAGTGTGGATTCATAGCTAAAGGGAAGAATCACCTCTAATGAGGCTTGCCCAGATGGTGTCTCATGCTGACTGTGCACCTTCATGGTATCTATAAACGGGTTTGAATTTACTGAGACTCTGCAATTATATTAGATTAAACTGCTACTGGCTGATGTCATCTCCAGTTCAGTAGTTCTGCATACCTAAGTTCAAGCTCAGTGTGAACTCCTCATCATGTCCTATTGTCAGTGATGCAAGGAGATCTGCCTCAATTGCCCTGCATCTTTTTATGGTGATGTAAGAGATGCTGATCTTGGTGTAACTCCAGCTCTGGCTGGAAAGCTAAACATAAAACAAATACCTCAAATGT